ATAATTTTTTCTTAAGAGATTGACTTTCTCAAACTTTCTTATCAGTTACAAGTTTGCTTCCATTTCTTTGGAAGATAAACATTCCTGTGACATTCTGATTTATTTGTTGTAACTTTTTCTATTATAGAGATAATATATATTATTTTTTAACATTATAAGATACAGCAAAACAAAAAAAAATTATACAGAATGCTCGCCTCTAGGGATAAATGCTTTTAACATTTTGGTACTCGTTCATTCTTCCATTTTCCCTCTCTCTGACATATACGTGTGTGTGTGTGATTTTCTTTAAAAATTTAGGAGCCTATTACTTCATTGTAATATCTTCTGGCTTTGTTTTTATTTATTTTGAGTCTATATTTTTAAATAATTAAGCCTCATGATTGTTGTCTCTTCCTGATGGATTGTTCTTTTTATTATTAAGTAATGTTTCTCTTCACCCTATAAATGTTTATCACCTTATATTCGATTTTTTCTTGGTAGTGCTTTATTGCTTTATCACTTTATTTTGAATGGTATTTACTTTGTATATATTTTCCCTTCTCTTTATTTCCAACGTTTCTGTTGTAATTTATTTAGGTGTGTCTTTTGTGTTTTTTAATACTGTATGATAGTGTCTATCTTTTCATAGGTCAGTTTACACCATTGGCATTTATTGTGATTTCTGATTTATTTGGGCATGTTTCTTCCCCCATTCTTTTACGTCTTCTGTTAACCACGCCTTTTCTTGGCTTATTTATCCTCCTTTTTTTTTTCTTTTTCTGCTGCTGCTTCTTTTTTTTTCTTTTCTTTTTTTTTGAGGAAGATTAGCCCTGAGCTAACATCCACCACCAATCCTCCTTTTTTTTTTTCTGCTGAGGAAGCTTGGCCCTGAGCTAACATCTGTGCCAATCTTCTTCCATTTTATACATGAGATACCTCCCACAGCGTGGCTTCATAAGCAGTGCCTAGGTCCATGCCTGGGATCTGAACCAGCAAACCCCGGTCTGCCGAAGTGGAGTGCGTGAACTTAATTGCTACACCACGGGGCTGACCCCTTCTTCTTTTTTTGATTGATTCACTTCTAGACACTCTTTTTCTCCTACTACTTTGGAAGTTTTGACTTTTCATCTATTCTTTTAGTGGTGACCATTAATAAAATTTTAACATATGCATTTAACCATATATTTTTCTCCCCAAGTTCAGCGTTTCTGTCATTTTCCCGTTTACAGTAAAGAGCTTAACATGTTTTAACTATCTGCTGAACTTCTCCCCTGAATTTTCATCTTGTAATTGTTTATTTAGAATTTTAGTTCCACTCTTTTTTTAAACACGAAAATTAGTGGTTTGTTTTTTTTTAATATTCTACAGTGCGTTAAAATTGCAATTATATTTTACCACCATCTATGCTTGCTATTGTTTCTTGTCCCTTACCCCTTTCTTTTGGGAAAAAGTTGTTTCTTGCTGAGTATATATTCTTTAGGGACTGTTTCAGAGAAGGTAGAGTGGTAAACACTTTCAATATTTGTGTGTCTTTATTTTGTCTACATTTCAAAATGATTATCTAAGCTGACTATAGAATTCCAGGATAACAGTTATTTTTTTCTCAGCCCTTTAAAGATATTGGTCCATTGCCTTTTGGTATCAATTGTTGCTAAACAATCTGAATAATCTCAGGTCAGCCTAATTGGCATTCCTATTAAGGTAACTGATCCTTTCTTTCTGGTAGGTCTTAAGATTTTCTTTTATCTTTAATTTTCTGTAGTTTTAATCCAATGTATTTAAGGATGAATTGATTTTTCTTTATCTAGCTTGGCACCTGGTGGGAATTTTCAATCTTAATATTTATGCTTTTTTTTTCAATTTTGAAAAATGAACAGCTTTCTCTCTATTTTATTTTTCTGGAAATTCTATTAGAAGTATATCAGTGCCTGTCAATCTACACTCTATGCCTCTTAACTATTCTTTAATACCTTTCATATCCTTGTTTCTTCCTACTTCGTTCTGTATATTTTAATGGTTATTTCAGGGGAAAGTTGGAAAAGGGTGGCCTTGATGCCTATTAATAAGATGTCATTTTACCTAAAATTTCTGCTCTCTTATTTCAGCTACTCTCCTTCAGCCTTTTAAAAAATATATACCTTTTATAAAGTCCTCAGAAATATAGTCTGGTTCACTGAAACAATACATCAGTCAATGTGCTAGCCCTGAGAATTGAAAGAGGTCTGAGATATGGTCCCTGACACAAAGCTCAAGGTTTTTATAATTGAGTGTGGGACAAAGATACACACAGATCATTTTAATAGCATCTGTGTGACAAGTGCTATAAGAGTGACATATACAGGATAACCTGAGGTTAAGGAAAAGGGCATTTGACTCTATCGGGCAAGTCATAGAAATTGGGAGGAGATGATGCTTAAACCGGATCTTAAGAAAAGAATAACACTAACAAGGGAGATATGGAATAAGTGGAACACTCTCAACCACCATTTTCTTTCACTCTCAGCTGATGCGTTTACTGAAAAAATAAGGTTTGTTTAGGCAGTAGATGCATCTTTTATGGCCCATGTGTCAGTTTGTTTGAAGTGTTTCATGAGGCTGTCACCACTTACTCCACATCTGAGATATTGTTCACTTTGCTTACTTGGCTTTCCTATGAGCCTTGCATTTTAACTAAAATGACCGTATCCTTTACTGTCCAAACTAAGGTATTTTTTGGAGCATAAGGGGCCCTATTAATAGTTATACCAGGATAGCAGGCATAACTTATTATCACAGCTGATCATTTTGTGTGTCTATCCTACCTTATCATCTAGATTGTGGGCCTTTAGGAGGCAGAGATGTGTGTTATGCATCTTTTTGCTTCACATCAACACAGTGCCTGCTACAGGGAAAATAGTAAATAAACATCTGATAAATAATAATAATGAGTGGTCAGCCTGGTGGCATAGTGGTTAAGTTCGTGTGCTCCACTTCAGCCGCGCAGGGTTTGCAGATTCAGATCCCAGGCGCAGACCTATACACAGCTTATCAAGCCATGCTGTGGTGCCATCCCATACACAAAATAGAGGAAGATGAGCACAGATGTTAGCTCTGGGCCAATCTTCTTCAGCCAAAAGAGGAAGACTGGCAACAGATGTTAGCTCAGGGCCAATTTTGCTCACCAAAAAAATAATAATAATAAATAATAATAATAATGATAAAGTGGTGATGATGAAAATTATTTTAAATCAGGCTGTGCAATAGGGTAGATTTCCAGACTCACCCAAATACAGGTGCTGGCACATTCTTTCCCACATCATCTAGCCCTTGAGGTCACCAGGACCCTACTCCTTTGTTTTGGTGGGATTCTCAGGTTTCCTGAAGCATTGAAGAGGGGTGTATCCCACTACCAATACACTCCCACCCTTCTTAACTTCTTTTTTTCCTCCCCAATTTTTCCAATCCAGGTGACCCTCATTTCATGGGGGAGAGGCGAGGAAGGAGAAAAGGGACCACGTCTACAGCCTCTCCTCCTGTTGTCTTTCTTTTTGTGAAACACATACACAAATCCAGCTTTGCAGAGATATAATTCACATACCATGCACTTTACCCATTCAAGGTGTACAGTTCACAGAGTTGTGCGTTCATCATCATAATCTATTTTAGAACATTTTCATTACACCTAAAAGAAATCCTATACCCCTTAGCCATCTGTCACCTTCTCATCCCTTCATCCTGTCCCCCAGCCCTAGGCAATCACTAATGTATTTCCTGCCTTTATAGATTTGCCTATTTTGGACATTTCATACAAATGGAATTGTACAATATGTTGTCTTTGTGTCTGGCTTCTTCCAGTTAACTTACTGTTTCCAAGTTTCATCCATGTTGTAGCATGTATTGGTACCTCATTTCTTTTCATTGTTAAATAATACTCCATTGTATAGACAAACTACATTTGGTTTATCTGTTAATCTATTGGCAGACACTTGGGTTCCTTCCACCTTTAAGTTCTTGCGAATAATGCTCCTGTGATCATGAGGGTACAAATATACATTTGAGTCCCCGCTTTCAATTCTTTTGGGAGTATATACCCAGAAGTGGAATTTCTGGATTTTATGGTAATACTATGTTTAATTTTTTGAGGAACCACCATACTGTTTTCCACAGTGACTGAACCAGTTTACTTTTCCACCAGCAATACACAAAGGTTCTAATTCCTCCACATCCTCGCCAACATTTGCTATTATCTTTCTTTTTGATTATAGCTATTCTAGGGGTATTAAATGGTATCTTATTGTAGTTTTGATTTGCATTTCCTTAATGGCTAATGATGGTGGGCGTCTTTTCATGTGCTTGTTGGTCATTTGTATACATTCCTGGGAGAAATGTCTATTCAGATCCTTTGCCCACTTTTTAATTGGGGTTATTTATCTTTTTATTATTGAGTCTTTTTCTACTCTACTCATATGCAGATATGAATTCTCTATAAATCTGATGAAGCTTAAGCTTCAAAGTCTCTTAATTGCAGGATCCCTTTCTAAAACCCTCAGCAGACTCTAGCAATGTATTCGTATAAAAATGTATTTTTATGAAGTTTGGGAAAAATTGTTTTTAAACAACAATTGTTAAGATTTCTGTCTCTTTCCACTCTAACTTCCCTTCAATCACACCTCCTTTCAAGTTGATTGATGTTGGAATGGCCACAGACAGTTTGTATTCATAATTTTATATATTTTTCCTTAAAGAGGGCATCCAAATTACATAACTTTGGGCTTCACAAAGCCTGGATGTGCCCCTATTCATATACTATAAATTCTAAGTCCTATTCTCCCGAGACTCTTCTTTTTTGATTTTCAAATGCCTAGTTTGGAAGTAGAAGCAAAATTCTCTAAATAAAATCTTCCTTCCTTTTGGCAAATTTATTATGCTGTGGGGAAATACAATTCTCATTCAGGTATGCAGTGGCCTCTGACTGCTTACAGAAGGGTTAGTAAACAGCATTCTAGTATGTTCTCATTTTATTTGTCCTCTCCTTTCAGCTCCTGTCATCACCACTCCTCTTGAAACAGTGGATGCCTTAGTTGAAGAAGTGGCTACTTTCATGTGTGCAGTGGAATCCTATCCCCAGCCTGAAATTTCCTGGACTAAAAATAAAATTCTCATTAAGTAAGTATTCTGCCTTTTTCTGATAAGAATGCCCACGTTTGCCTTGTGATTTATCTTTGACATAAATACAACCATAGTTCTTGGCGGTACTAAACTTCACCTTCTATAATATGTAAAATGCAAATTTCCTCATTTCATAAATGTAGGATCTGAACTACAGTGAGGTTAAAAGAATTGCCCAAAGCAACACAGTGATTTAATTGACGTGGAGAAGTCAGGGCTATTTGCTTCCTTTTGTATCCCAAAGAACTAGAACCAAGCCTGGCACTTGTTAGGCATTCAACAAATATTTGTTTAATGAATGAACAAATACTCAGTTAATTGTTGGTTACTTCTGTAAGTACTTAACCCTTTCTGCTAGTCACATTTATGTGTGTGTGTGTGTTCATTATCCAGCTGCTACTTCCCAGTAACTAAAAGAAGACTCATACATCTTAGTAATAATATGCTTTCTTTAAACTTTATGTTTGGTCTTATCAGTAGACATTATCTTTTGAAAGCATTTTTGGAGGACTCAGTGGTGCTTTGACTATTGGAGCCTAGGAAAAATTAAAATATGACATTAGCTTTATATTATCAAATAAGGTTATTCTATTATGCAGAACTCATTCAAGTTTCCTCTTACCTATAATCTACTTCTTCTATTGACAATCATCTGTTTTATCAGTTAGTTATAGCCAAAAAGTCATAGATGAGCCCTAACCTGCCATTTTCCTCCGTGACCTGCAGGCTCTTTGATACCCGGTACAGCATTCGGGAGAACGGACAGCTCCTCACCATCCTGAGTGTGGAAGACAGCGATGATGGCATCTACTGCTGCATAGCCAACAATGGTGTGGGAGGAGCTGCTGAGAGTTGTGGAGCCCTGCAAGTGAAGATGAGTGAGTGAGAAAGAGAAGCATCTATTGATTCTAAAGTTAACTTGGTCCACTTTGAAGCAGGCGGTAAATAGAGACTCCCTCATATCTGGAGGTTCAGCAGTGAGACAAGTTCAAGTTCAAAACACAAGCTTGAGGCAGTTAATGCGACCCCTCTTATTCCTGCCATCAACCACCGCCCCAAAGGCAAGCTTCTTAGTTATCTATCCTCTCCATTTTCTTGCCTTTACACAGCTTTTTATTTGCTCCACCCTGACTTCTCTCACCAGGGAAGCTCCCTCTAAAATCTTTACCCTGTGCCTTTAAAAGTGTTCCATTACAACCAAACATCCTTTTTTTTTTTTTTTGGTGAGGAAGATTGACCCATAGCTAACATCTGTTGCCAATCTTCCTCTTTTTGCTTTGAGGAAGATTATCTCTGAGCTAACATCCATGCCAGTCCTCCTCTATTTTGTATGAGGGTTGCCGCCACAGCATGTCTTGATGAGCAGTGTGCAGTGTGTATGTCCACACCCGGGATTCGAACCGGCAAACCCCAGGCCGCTGGAGTGGAGTGCTCAAACTTAACCACTGGGTCACCGGGCCAGCCACCAAACATCTTTTTTAACTTTAACCTCTTTGCAGGCACTTCTTCTACCCTTTTGCCTTATATCAAACTCAATTTTCTTGAGCAAATTTTCAAACTTGAGTGACTTTTCTCCTTAAATGAAAGCTGTTTATTTTTTCCCCACTTCATGTCTACAAGGCTGACAAGTACTCATGGCTGATCTCCTTGGCCTTCTTGCTGTTTTTAAACCATTGTATTTTGTATTCCTGAACAAAATCTTTCCTCTCATGAGGGCTTATGCCATTCTGACCATTCTCTCCTCTAACTCTATTCATCAAGTCATCTACTCACTTCCAGGCACTACCTCATGTTTATCAAAGTCTCTGATTCCAGACTCACTGTCTTCTATCCACCACGACTCCTGCTGTTATCCTAAGGGATTTTAACAGCTGTGAAACAGAACCCCTAGCCACTTCATCCTTATAATTCCTTGACCTCCACAAGTCCAGTTACATTTGCCTTAACTCTTTATCAGCCTACTCGATCAATGACCTGTCAGCCCCAGGAAATAGACTGTATTTAAAAAACCTCCAGTATGTCACACTGTGAACATCAACACTTCTATTTCTAGTTCTGTCCAATGAAGGGAGCAGTTTCCTGCACTCACGATTTGCCTCCAAATAGAAGGCACAAACTCCATCTATCTCTTTCTCAGCTAAGAACAGTCTGGTTGTCTCACTCTCTCACAAAAATTCCCACTACAAACCATCACCAACATGGTCATGTTCTCTTTTGTTCTTTTTTCCACCCTCTCCTTAGGAAAGCTCTCCCTTTCATGGAGGTATACACTGGTGTGGCTCTTTTAGTTGTTAAAATTTTGCAATGCTTCTGCACTACTTGTTGAAGAGTTGCTTCCTGAGGCCCCTAAGGTCCCCACCTCCATTGTCACTCCAACTACCTTAGGATCTCCCCCAGGAGCTCCCTCCCCCAACTTCTTTATGGTCCATCAACTAAGGACTCAATGCTGGCATAGCAAGATACTCTCAGCATCTTGCTCCAGCAAGGTGACAAGTTCTCATGAGTCAGTGCTCATGGCTCCACCTGAATCAGGTTCCCTTAGTGTGGGGAATCCATGACTCCACATCAATACTCAATTCATTCCTAGTTTATTTTGTATTCAATTTCCCACAAGGGTTCCCCTCACCTCTCATCCAAGAGGTGACTAAGACCTGTATTTCACTGAGAAGATAGAAGTTATTTGCTTTAACAAAGGTTTTCTGCCTAAGATATTATCTATGACTCATGTTTGCCATAGGGATCAGCACAGGGAACTCAATGAAAGGAATTGATAACACTCTCTTTGACTATGTCATAAGTATATCAACTCCTGAGCTAAGCTGCTGCCAGCAGCTATATGACAACCCAACTCACAATTGAGGTGCCTGGCCATTATCTAAATGTAGGAATTCACTGTTGTTGATTAGAAGAAGAGCTGTATGCTTTAGATAGCAGGCAAAGTGACTAAGTTGATGTTTTCCAATAACCTATTTAAGCCTATCTTGTATTTTTGCTACAATGTTAGGATCATACCAACTCTATATGACAGTAAATTCCTCTATTAAATATCAATAGACCATGAGTCTTTGCAAATGCCACTTACAACCACCACCAAACCACCCCCTCCCACACACACACAATTAAAGTAGAAGGAAAAGAATCATTATTGCATGCACTTTTCTGTCAAAGTAACAAATTGATTATGGCACATGACCTGAAAGAAATGAAATGCATCTTCTTCTCGGTAGTCTCTCCTGCAAAGACAGTCTTCTGTTTTGTATCTGTAATGTAAGATTACTACGGAAATAAATGTAGTTTGCATTATTTTATGAATGTTTTAAGTAGTAAAATAACTGGCATCCTGAACTTATCAATTCTTCTATACATTGGATTTAATAACTGCTTCCTCTGAAAGTTTAACATTGGAGAATAAAATTGACATAAACTACTTGTTCTGAAAGAATTAAGTGTTTTACAGAACAGTAAATTACCCAAGTTTGCTTTGCAGAGTGCAGATACCCTAAATTGTATGACTAGAATGTCTCTGATTACTTATATAATAATATCTGATTTACTTTCTATGGGATAAATGTTTCTAATTTTTAACCATTAAATTTAATAGTCAATTTTAGATAGAAACTAAAGGGATAATAGGTCATAACTCAGAATTATATTAAAAATATAAATTTATATTAAAAATGTCTTTTCAAATGTTTTCATGTCTGTTGGTATGAATTAAATAATGAATTGTTTTGGTGACGGCTTATTTTAATCAACTTTTTAACTATTTTTAACACAAAAAATACTACAACTTCAAACTCCTGATATGTTTCATGAATTTGTGTTTTCAAATAAGATACTAATAAAAGAGAGATAACTTAAACTTTTAAAAAGTGATTTCTTTTGATATTCACTAAAAATTAACCTTAAAATTTGGTGAATTTTGTAATGTAACAAATTATTCTTAAAGTGAATATTTAGAATTAAATAGGAGATTAGAAACTCTAAGTTTAGTACAGCCATATTGCCTTTTTAATTCTGAATTCTTATTTCCCTTTAGAACCTAAAATAACTCGTCCTCCCATAAATGTAAAGATAACAGAAGGATTAAAGGCAGTTCTACCATGTACTACAATGGGCAATCCCAAACCATCAGTGACATGGATTAAGGGGGACCATGCACTCAGGGTAAGTGATTATTATCTTAAAACATGTATATACAACATGTTTTCAAATACAACAATCCTTTGTAAACTCAGTAACAGGATTACAATTTTCCAGTATAAATGTTTTTCCATACATAATGTTTCAACCAAACTTAAATATTTCTGTTCCCATATACACAAACTGTAAGGCATTCCAGTTGGGGCTGGCTAAGGAAAAAAAGAGATGGGAACTAGTAGTCCTTTTTAGGGATAAAAAGAGGCAGAGCAAAGCTAGAGTCTTTTTTGTTGGTTGGTTGGTTAGTCGAATCATTTATTTTTTAACATGGAATCTTTGAGACTTAAGGGATAAAAAAGATAGAACTAAAATCCAGGTCTTAGACTATACAGTTTCTGGGAGGAGAGAGAGAGATGAGGTTTAAAAGAAAAAGAATGAGAACACTGGAGTGATGGTAGAACATGAAGATTCAAGACTGGTGAAGACACACGTTGACAGATACTTCAATTACAAAGAGTAGTCAAATTAAAAATGTATTATTCACCTGCCTATTTTGTACTGCTTTTATATTTTATGCCTACACTTATCAATAAATTATTACACTGTACCATCATTGCCTTTTTCCATCCTTGTGTCATCTCCTAACTGTGAACTCAATGAGGTCACAGATAGTATGCTTTTGATCTTACGATGCTCAGAACATTCCATGGAGAATACATAGGTGTTGATATATGTCAATTAATTGAAAGGAAGTATAAAATTGATTAGCTTTGTTTTACATTAAATTTTTTATGGTGACCTATATAATTCTCTGGCTTTCCTTTGGCATAAATATTGGTGCTCTTCCTACAATAAAAATAAGTGTGGCTCTTTGTATGATACCGAATTTGGAGTCCCAAAAAAGAAAATCAATGTAATATTTTCATTTCAAAGACCAGTTTTTGTATCATTAGTAGAATTTTCCAATTTTTTAAAGGACATATATTCCCCTAAGGATACCATTTGGATATGTAGTAAATATGGCAGTTAAAAGCAATGCTTTTAATCAACAGACTTGGGTGTGACTTAGGAAATGAAATAAGCCTTGGTGTCTATGTGTGATGAAAGGAAATAAAAATAAACTATATCTTATGGGATCATTGTTAAAATTAATTTAGGTAATCTTGTACTGTCTCATTTAATATTGTACGTTACACATAATAAATGGCAAATAAGTGTTTAAATGATATTTTTGATAACAGCGATGATGATGACTTGATGAGATATGGCAACTGTGTCCTTGATAAAGCCATGGATGTTTTAAAATTCTTGTCCGTATCCCTGGCAGGAAAATGCCCGCATTGCAGTTCTTGAATCTGGGAGTTTAAGGATTCATAATGTGCAAAAGGAAGATGCAGGACATTATCGATGTGTGGCAAAAAACAGCCTCGGGACGGCATATTCCAAATTGGTGAAGCTGGAAGTTGAGGGTAAGGAACTGCAGTGCTTCCCATTATCGTGTTATCAGAGGGCCTCACGTTCTACTGTGAAGGCTGCACGTTAGCTGGCAGAAACAGAGTGGTAGGTAGTCCCGTTCCCTCAACTGTTCCAGATACTAGACGCTGAGGTCAAAACTGGGAAAAGACAAACTGAAAAGATAAAGAAATTTTCGCTAGTGTAATAGGTCTTACTCCATCCCACTCCATTGCCCACAATCACTGGTAATTTTGACCAAAACAGATAAACTCACTATAATACTAAAACAGTAGGACACCATTTTAGAACTTCTGCCTGGCTTGGAAAATTCTCCTTTGTTTATAAATTTGAAAACACTCATCCTATCTTTTACAGTGTATAGACGACTTTTTAAAAGATAACGAAAGAGAAAAAGCACCTTTTTTTTCAGATTGTATTCTATCACAAAGCTTGAGAAAAATAAAATACTGACCCAAAATGTATAACCAAAAATGGTCCTAGTTCTATGAGTTACAGTGTCAAAATAGTTTTCACTTTTTAAAATGTTCTTTTAAAGCTAACCAATGCAACAACTAGTTGTGGAAGATCTTCACTGGGAAATCAGAACTCAGATAGGGCTGGTTCTGTCCATTAGGTCATCGGATCCTTCTCGACCTAAAATTACATCACATTTTGCTTAAAAATAGAAAGTACCAGCATGCCTGTGCTAGCTAATCACACTAAGTACATAACTCTTCCCAGCTCTTCCTGTTACAAGCTGTAGAATTTACCTTTCTGGCTCTCAGTTTTCTCATCTGTAAAGTGGGGTTTGTTGTGAGTATTCAATGAGGTGAGGTGTTGATAGGTTTAGCAGAGTGTCTGGCTCTTTGTAAACATCAATAAATGTTGACTATAAGAATAATTACCTATTTTTCTGCTTTTCTCTTATCTGATTGATAAAGCGATCAGACTATCGCCCACTGGCACAAATTGTAGTTCAATCAGGGAAGACTTCAAGGGTTCACCAGAGCTTACTTTGATTCCATCCTACTCCCATTAGGCCAAAATCTATCTTTTCCCATATCTCTTCCTTCTCAATCATACAGTTTTGTATTAGCTCCTTTAAGATTATTTTTATTTCCTAGCTAGACCTTCCACTCACAGCTTTAATGATCTCAATTTCAACATTTGCTTCTAGTTGAAGGAACATATTTTTATTATGTCGTTGCATCAATTGCTCATAAAATATCCATTAACTTTTCATGGGAAAGAATGAGGTTGGTGGGAATAGTACCTGTCAGATGTACAAAAGATGTATTTTCAGCATAGTTGCTATAATTTAACGTCTTCCAAGTTATCCGTGCTATTTACAGCTCAGTATGCGACAACCAGTTGATGTGAATTATTCAATGAAAAATAAATAAACATACAAACCCACTCAGACACATTGAAGATCTTCTTGGATTTAGTGTTTCCTTGAACTATATGTGGAATGATACAGAATTAATGTTATCAATTTGTATGTAATATCATAAAGATTCTCCTCTTCTAGAGCCTCTATATTATAATATATATCACTGATTGTTCAGGTCACAGTCATCAGATATTGAAATGATCTGCTTTAGTTTTGTCCTAAAGAAAATTATTACAAATCTCAATTAGTTGGAGTCCAATTACAATTGGTCTTGCCTTGCGATTTAATTTTGTATCACGCCTGTCAGTAAAACTGAATGTTGTCTTTCTTCCTAACATTTCAATGGTGATATTCATTGCTTTAACAGTTAATATGTGCTAGAGGCTTTATTAAACTAGCTGGTATTGAGAGCTCATAATATCCTTTAAAGTCACTCTAACAGTAGGTAAGATGATCATTTTAGCACACATGTCTGTTTCTACCCCATTCCAATCTCTACTAAAGTAGCCAAGATACATGAAAATACGTGACATGTTTTGCACCACTGCTGGTACATAACAACTATTTAATAAGTGGCATGAACTATAATTATTACTATTAGAACATAAAAATTGCAGCAAATCTGTCTTGGCTCTTAAAGCTCTGAAAGGTTGGCTTCCACTGAAAGAAATAGTTGAGGAATTTCCACAAGAGGAAATGTAGACATGATCTATTTAAAGGAAGGGCCAACTCAACCTACAACGCAGAACAGGCGAAAAAGCAACTGAGAAGCAATTGGAAGAACCCCAAAAGTGCCTACAAATGGCTGATAGCTTGGCAATGGTGAAGGGAGGATGAGGCTGGGTAGTAGTCAGTTGGGGTAGATAAGTATTTGTTACACATTGTGTCAGTAACTCTGTGAGCAAATTAGAAAGAGAACTCCAGAAGTGCCATTTGACGCTGGGCTACATTTCTCGCCCAAATGGGTATGCCAGGAAAAGACAGGGCTTTGTCTGCCACTGCCAGCTTCTAATGAGGATCAGCATGCCAGGCCATGGATTTGGTACAGCATGTTCACTAAATCTTAGCTGCCATAACAACTGTGAAAGAAAGACCTTTCAACACAGAAGTAAAACTCTCTTTCTAGAATGTCATCCTCAGGCTGCTGGATCTCTGGAATGGCCATGGAAAGATATTCTGCCCTTCTGTCTTGTCTTAAAAGGTTCAAACAGTGACACACAACGTTACTGGTGGAACCACCCAACTCAAGCATAGTCAAACATGGATGTCTTACTAAAAAGATGAACAATGGGATGGCTGACATTTTAAAATGCTAAATGCTTTACATGTATTATTTTATTTAATCCTCACTAACAGTCGGTGAGGAAGGCCCTATCATTGTGCCATTTTAGGAAACCGAGGGACAGAAGTGATAACTAACTCACTCCAGGCCACAGAGATAGAAGTGTCTAAGAAATTCAGTAACGCTGAATGCCGTCTGTTCTATTAAAGAACAAGGTAATCATGGGTGACATTGTCAAGAGTAGTGTCAGAATGGGAATGAGGGAAGAAGCCAGAATCCTGCAAATGATGGGGAATGGGAGCTGGAAAAAAAAGAGGCTGTGAGTTTAGACAAATTTTTCAATAAATTTGGAAGAGAAAAGGGAAGAGGCAAAAAATTGAGCAGTAGATAGAGGTATATGTGGCGTATAGGTAGTGTTGCTTTGTAAGAATTCTCTTTCAAAAAGATCGAAATGTTTTTTAAAAAATTGAAAATGTTAAGAAAGAGCCCAGAGAGAAGGAAAGTTTGAGCATACGAAAGAGAGGGGGAATATTCAAGGGAACATGGCACTTGAGGAGCAAAAGGGATGTATTCAGGGGACAAGTGGAGCAATAAACTTTATAGAGGGTGACCGCATGTCCCGGTTTGCCCAGGACAGTTCTGGTTTACACCTGTTATCCTGGAATAATTATTAATAGAGTTCTTCTTTTACTTCCAAAAGGATCCAGCCTTCGATGATAAATTATATGAGCACTCCACTTACACAGGAAGAGGAAACTTCCTTCCTGTGATAGGAAGAAAGGAGAAAAAGGGGGGCATTCCGGTATAAATGAGTTCATAAGTGTGGTGCGTGGCATTTAAGAAAGGTCTGTTCTGATGGTCTCTATTTCCTCTAGGAAGCAGAAAGTAAGGTTATCTTCTGAAAATACTTCTGTAAAGGGGGGGCGAAAGGGTGGGGAGAATGGAAAGGTTTTAAAATAGCTGTGGGGAATGGGAGAGATGACTCACAAGGGAAACTAGGATTGCCGGGCAACTTTAAGGTTTTAGTAGAGAAGGGGACTGTAAATATGGAGTGGCATCAATTTGCATAGTTGCAAGGTTTTATCCCCAAGATTGCTCAGCAGTGCAGGCATAAGTCCAGAAGAAGTAGAAAGCTAAATCCAAAGGCAAAATATAAGCATTGGAGTCTCGCCAGAAAGAAAAATAAGATGAAGGATTTGAGAATGTTGCAAGAGAATGGTTGAAGTGATGGATCATGGAATCTTTATGTACCAAATACACAAACCTGAGATTAAACACTTACAGATCCAGCCATATGACAGACAAGATAATGTGAAAATCTTCCTACTACAAATACCCAGAAATGCTGGGTTAGTTGTATAATTCATAAGAATAAAATGTAAATATCCAGAGGCTGGGAATAAATAGGAATTGAAAAAACAGAGCAAGAAGCTCATGAGCTGGTTCTGCACTGTCCTGGAGGTAGTGAAAGAAGTGCCTGTCTCTATAACCTAGAAGATGGGATTTAAGACTCTTCAAGGAACAGGAGACAGAGGTTGGCCCCCTGTGAAGTGGAGGTTAGCACTGAGACCCTTGTATAAAGCTGAGAATCACAGAGGTGAAAAGATGGGCCAGAAAAATTCCATCCACTGGCACAGAAAGACAGCGCAGAGAATTGTCTGTATTTTCATAAGAAGAAAAACCAAGTCTTCTTATGAATGAATATTTGACACTCAGGACTATATATCATATAGGTTTGATTTTGAATTCATACTGCCAGCATCGCCATTGATCCCAGGCCAAAAATTTAATAACAACAAAAAAGAAATACCTTACCCATGTTACATAAGATTTTCATAGATAAAGCCACCCTGAGGATGAATTCACAATGCAAAATTACAGCGTCCACAGGAAACAACCTGCCCTGAGTGAGAGTTAGTTGACACAATATGCAAAGGGATTAAAACCCCAGGTAATTCATTTAACAACACAATATAATGGAGATTCTAAAATAAATACGTTTAAACTAATTAAAGACACAAAAGGAGGAACACAAAAACAAAGAAAAATACACTAGGAAGAAGAAAGGCAGTTCAGGTAAAAAAAATTAAATATAATCTTAGTAAATGAAAAATATAATGATTGAAATTAAAATTCAATGGATGAGTAATGGTATCCTAGAGATAAAGAGATAATCCACACATTTGAAGTTAGCTCTTCAGAGTTTAGAATTCGGTGCAGAGAGACAAAAGAGATGAGAAATATGAAATTGAATTTCAGAAATAACTAAGGATATAAGTTACAGAGAGAATAGAGAAAATGTGAGAGGCTATACTCAAAAGTATAATGAATGAGAACTT